TTACCCAATAAAAATAAATATATTTTAAAAATACATACTTAAAAGTACGGCTTAATACAAAAAAGTTCATATTTATCTCACACAGATAACTCTGCTTTCTCGTACATATTCCATTACCTCTCCCTCGAATCATTGGCGGGTGGGATATAGCTGACACGTTGTTTTGTCTTATCAGTTACTCATGTTAACGACGCATGTGAAACATACCCTTAAAAATTGCCTCAAATATATCTTGGTTACCATGCTGAGCAAGCGGTCGTTAACCACGTTTATTATTATTTTGATATGTTATCAGGAAGATGTTGCTATTCATTTCCTGCTTCATTTCATATCCACGAAATGATATAGAGTAGTGCATCCACATACGGTAGGTCATTACGAGTACACGGCGAAATATTATTGATGTCTTAAATTTTAGTAATGATATAGATTGCAATATCAGTGAACCTGCATAAAATTATTGCTCTTGTAAAGTCTTTCTTATCTGCTCAAAGAGGCGTGTGATATTTATAACTTAGAACCGAGAAGTCGAAATTGCTTAATTCAGCGTTATTATCGCTATTTTAAGTTAGTAAATGACTTAAACAAGCATCTTAAACACTTACTTATTACTAAGCTAAGGATTTTGCCATAGCAAAAATATAATAAATTATTAAATAAAATTAATCAAGAAAATGTAAAATTCAAAAATGCGAACCCTGATCACGCTTATTTTCAAAATGTTAAATATTTATCTGTATTTTTACAAATATTTCTTTGATAATTAGTAAACCTTTTATAATTCTTGAATGTTATCACTTTCTATCTCACTGTCTCACTCACTCATTCACGCTCACTTATTTTACTTTATAATTGTTTACTTTAATTGAAATAATTTGAAATTTGTCGTCAAGATAGATTATAAGGGTTGGCTCACACCGAGATGTGATACGACGCGACGCCGCGTGCAAAGCTTAAGATAGTTTTAAGCTTGTTTTAAGCAATACAAAATATAAATTTATTTGCTATACAAAAAGATACACATTTTATCGAGATAATTCTAAAATTCCCCACGGCGTCGCGCTACACCGCGCTGCGTCTCGAGATGCCTTGCAGCGTAGCGCGGCGCATCACGACGCAGCGGGCAAGTGCGGTACGCTGCCAGTGACTTCACGATGTGCCCTGCGACGTCGCGTTTCGTCTCGAGTCGGCGCTGCGCGGTGCGAAACCACTGGCCTCTTCAAGCATCGTCACGTCACGTCACGTCGTGTCTCTGTGTGAACTGACCCTGTGGCGTATACAAAAGAACAAATATGAAAACTATAATTTATTTATGTTCTCATTGTATATCCATTAAACTTAGTATCCGCTCCGCTTAAGGTCTGAATTCTTATCGGCGAAGCCGATAGCAATGTCAATGTCGTTTGTACCTAGTTTGGCTTCTTTTTCACATTTTACCATATTTTAATTATTATTTTCATCATTGTCATCCTATCCTATATAAAAAAATTCTAGTGATAGGCTTAGGTTTGAATTTAATTTTATTAATTATAGGATTCCAAGATGTGAACATGTTCAAGATTGTCCCGTCATTACATGAGATTTGATAGGACACAAATCCTCGCAAAAGAACATCGATTCCTACTAAGGATGATACGCGAGGCTTTTGAAATTAATAACATCCTAATTTTAATAAAGACGATATAAATAAATTATACGGTGGTGGGTTCTACCATCTGTGGAATGCGCTTAAATTAATTCTAATATCAATTCTATAAGTTCGATTTTTAACATTTTATATGTCAACTTTTAGTAACCAACCCAATTTATTTTTGCTTTTTTATTCTTCTAAAGTATTTAATAATACCTATTGTCGCTAATTTATTTAAGTAATAAAAATGTTAAAAGTTGAAAACAATAATTTCCTCTAGATCCAATTTCAGTTTTAACGGAGAAAATGCTTTTTTACTTGGCGCCGTATAATTTATTAATTATCTCTTCATGATAGGCAAGACATATTTATCGAAAATATCATTTCTCACAAGCTTAATTTTTTAACTTTCCTTTTCACCCTAATTGACTGGCGTGCCGTATTCTGCTTTAATACCTGAATAAAGGATGTCATACCCAACATCGTGTATGTTCTACGCACTAGGAATAGGTTGGGGAATGACAACGCCCTATCAGAATACCAGCGTAATAGCAACTTAATGCTTCTGTACTTCGTATGGCACAGAAGCATTAAGCTGTGGAGAACCGAAGAATCTTTTTACCAGAAACGAGGCATTCTATCGTAGTCCTCAGTTGATGTAATGCATCTGCATTTTGATTCTTAATCGCGGATAGACGTAGATGTCTCAGCATTTGATGTGCCAGTTTCCTCTTACGATAAGGTGGACAGAATACTCGTTTGTCACACTTAACTGTAAAATGATATGAAATAATACGTTAAAATTTTGTCATATCTAATTTAAATAATGGATGGAAGTTAGAAATTTCTAATAATTTTGTCAAAGTGATTGATATTATCTAAATGGGGGTGCTTAGAGCTGAATTTAAAAATTCTGTTACATAAATGACAAGATAAATACGTTTATAAAAGTGAAATCGCCGTAAAATAAAATGCTGTAAAATATGTAATACCTTTAAAATGAATAAGAAAAGTCATTAGCAGAAAGTAAAATACTCTATCTATACCCTTCTGATTAGAACCCAGCAGTGACCTAGACGGAATTGTAGGCTGAAAAGCAGTCTTACCACATATTAGTAAGTCTTCTTTAACCAATATCTTTGAAAAAAGTTACAATATTACAAGATTTTTCTTTCATTACAATATAATACAGGGTAGAAAGGTAATCATAAACGTGTATGAGTAGGAATCCTAAAGAAAAGTCGGTATATTTTATTTGTGTCTGTAGCTTAGACAGGATAAACTAAAAGGTGCTCACTTTGTTCACGTAACCTATTTATTAGCATAGGATTTGAAAGCGTGTGAAATTATTTGGAATTAATTTGGAAGATCCTTTTAGTTTAATTGACTTTTGTGTCCCTTGCTGTATTCTACAATTGTTAGAACTTGAACAAAATCAGAAATAAATTTTAAAAGGTCTTATGTAATTAAAATCTGCAATTACTGCAATAAATACATATTCAGTTATAATTTTATGTTTGTATGTATTTTTTCCATAACGAGGAAAATATTTCTTCTCATAATCATAATTTCAAATAATAACTTTACCGTTACATACCGTTACAACCTATTAAAGTCCACTGCTGAACATAGGTCTCCCCCTTAGATTACTTAGTAGGGGGTATATTTGCCATATTTGTCACGCTTGACTGACTGGTTGGCAACCGCAGTTTTTATTTTATGCTGTCCATCTCTTGACTTGTTTATCTCAGTCGCCTCTTATGACACCCACGGGATGATATGGGGTTGTGGATATTCTTACATCGCCTCTACACGATATATAATAATTACGTATTGAGCATTAATTTTATGATCGAATGAAACGACTCATATAATATATAAACTCATATACGTTATTACCATAGATTTTTTTTGTCGTAGAAAGATTCGTATAGGGTCAACTCATCTAATTCTGTGACAAAACAGAATGTGGAAAAAAGCAGGTTAAACTTTATAAATTTTATTTTTATTTTTAATAGTAATATTAATCAGTCACCGTAATTCGGTGATAGTACTTCTCTAATTCTGTTATAACCGAATTAAGTGATTATTTATTATTTTTTAACACAAAAGTAACAAAAAATAAAATTAAATATAAACATATTGAAAGTAATAATTATGTATTTATTCATCAACGAGAAACTATCAAAAGTGGCGAAAATAAAATACAATATTGGACTTTATAATTGTTTTTTACTCTTCACCACTGGACTCGTCAATACTACAACCATCACACATAAAAAATTCTTGGTTGTCATTTATAATTTGACGTTGGCAATGGGTATGATACGGATTAGTACAGAACGAGCATGATATCCAGTCGGCTCCATTTTGTAACTTAACATTTTGTGAGTATAGCCCATTGCACGTACTACAAATCCAATCATCATTCGAGATGGAACATTTTGATCCCTTTGATGATTGAGAAGATTGTTTGACATTTTCGTTTGTTTGTCTTCGTGATTTTGGTTTATTAATCTGCTGAAGGGATAACTGCCGCCGGTAATCTTCTTTTTTGACATGTCTTACAGATACGGTTGCAGATGATGTTGTGGCAACCGGTGCTTTGGAAACGATTCTCTTTGTTGTGTTTTCGTATTTGTTTTCCACTTTGGTAATGTTAATATATCATGTATAATTATTTTATTTTTGTTTTGAGGTCTTGATACGTCGTCGGTGGTTAAAATGTTTTGTTCAGTGTTGGTAATTGGTTCTAACTCGCATTCCACTTGTAAAACAAAAGGCTCATCACTCTGTGTTTGAGATTTTTCAGAAAGACTAGTACTTGAGATCGAAGGGTCGTCATTTTCTTGACTTCTCCGTCACACAGAAGGTCATTATGTATTCCAGAGTGAGGAATTTCTTCATCGTAGTCAATACCGATAGTTATTTCTTCCATTGACTCTTGTCCAGTAGTTACAGGCTGATCGGATAACTTGGAAGGTGCAATAGCGTCTGCGCATACAGCATTTTTATTAAATGGATAGATTCCAGCTTTACTAAATCCTACTCGAATATTGGTTGGTGTGAAACATTTTTCATAGACCGGTGTTAGAAATTTGTGGAAATCATATCTTGTGGGTACTGGGATGTTTTATTTTATAATTTTTGTAACTCTGCTCTCCATGCCCTTTAAGTGGCCGAAACACTCCCACATCCAGAGGTTGTAAAATATGGCTGGTGCGAGCAGGCATTGTATACAATACTATCTGGTGGGATTTAGCATAATCAGGCACTTTTGGACTTATTTGACTTGCATGTGAATCCATAATTAAAATACGGGTCTTGCAGGTGGAATATTTTGATCGAAAAATTTAAGCCATTCAAAGAATTAATCTGCATTTATCCAGCCCTTTTGTGACAGTCGGGTTAAACTGTTTGGCAGAGAACCATTCGATAGTTCCGGAGTATTTCTTACTCCTTTGAAAATCACTAAAGGGGGAATAAAATTCTCAGCTGCATTAACATATGCTAGCACGGTGGTTGTAGTGCCTTTTTCAGCATACGTTCTATTGTAAACGTATTTTTTGTCTATTTTAGTTCCAATCTTAGAAGCTTTGTTGACATACATAGGACCTGTTTCGTCACAATTCCATATCCTTTCTGGACAATTCATCAAGTTATAAGCAACTAATGTTTCTTCTAATTTTTCATAAAAGTCAGCTTTTATTGCAAGATTTGAACAAATAGCACGGCCAGATGAAAGGTTATCGGGAGTTCTTAAACTTAATCTCAAGTTTAAGAACTCCCGATAACTTCTCATCTGGCCGTCTTAGCAATCTTAAAAATAAAACTTAATCTCAAGCAGAAGATATTTGTACTAAACTAAACCAGTTCTCTTATGCACTGCATAGACTTGGAACAATTGTGAATCAATCTGCGGTCATCACTGCGTACCACGGTTATGTAGAATCAATGTTAAGGTATGGTGTCATTTTTTGGGGTAACTCTGTAGACAATGATATGATATTTAGAGCCCAAAGGAGATGTGTAAGGGCTATAGTGAAGTTAAAAAAAGACGGATAGTTGTAAACCATTTTTTATTAGTCTGAAACTGTTAACACTTCCATTTCTTTATATATATGAGGTAGCCGTCTTTGTTATTACGCATATTTCTTTATTTGAGTGCTTACACAGTAAACGTAATAATCATAAAATAGATTTTCCATCAAACAAAACAGCCCAATTTAACAACAGCATATTTTGTATGGCCCCTCGAATTTATAACCATTTACCATTACACATTTTGAGATGTTCCAACATAGATAATTTTAAAATACTATTGCAGCAATTTCTCGTTAATAGGGCATACTACAGTGTGAAAGAATATCTCGAAGATAAATATGAAATTCAATAATTGGCTAATACGTGACAATATAACTAAATTGACTTGACTTATATAATATTATCTACATTGACATATCGCTATTAATTTTGATTTTAAAATAAAAAAAACTAATAAAAGTAATGAATATTGCATGCCAAATGGCGGAATATAGCTGTACTGTTTGTTCTCTAAGTGATAAACTATGACAATACCATCTGTATCAACCTATATTCGCAATAAATGATTTGAATTTAAAAAAAAATTTAACCCATAACGTTCTTTGAAGCCTACCCACCAATTCTATCCTGCATATTTTTTGTTAGTGTTGAAGTTATGCTTGAATTTGGCTGTCCCAGCTAGCGAAAAAGCGATTTGCCGGATTTGGTTGACTGTAAGACCAAATCTAAGTTCTTGCATTTGTACAATGTATGACAATAAACTTTGTTCTAAATTTGCTGACAAAAAAATGGTCAACCAACCTTGAGCATTTTAATTTGTGTTATGCCCTGCTTGCGTTCTTCTTTTATCCTTTCAACATTGAACTTTAAAGTACTTCACGGTACTTTATATTCTTTTGATGCCCTGTCAGACACATTTTTGACTGCAGAACACTTTCAATTGCGGATGTAAGGGGTTGATATATATATATATATATATATATATATATATATATATATATATATATATATATATATATATATATATATATATATGTGTGTGTGTGTGTGTCATTTGTTAGTGTGAGTGGCACTACACTCCACACTAGAAAAACGGTCCGAGGAACCAACAAGAGCGTCGATGGAGATCTGATATCCGTCCAGATGACAGTTCAGCAGAAAGTCAAACAGGGACGTCGCACGATCCTCCACATCTGGAGTCAGCTTAGGCCGAGTAACCAGTAGTGTCAGACCGTATGCCAAGAAAAAATCATAAACAGATCTCCTCTTATAATTGGTTAAAAGTAAATCGAACCATTAAACGTGGTGGGCGTTAAAATCGCCAAGGATCACGATCTCTGTGGATGGGATCTGCTGTATCAGGGAATTTGTAGCCATTTCGATGTGGTCCTATCCATATGGTGGAATAAGTCGGTCTGTTTCAGTATTACTGCTATGGGACTAATATGCTATGGGACAAATTGATGCACCCGTGGACGCATGGATGATCATAAACGACGACGAGTCCGAACCTTTAAGACTGCCAAGGCGTCGAGAAAAGATGTCCTCTCTTAGGTTTACGCAAAGTCCAGCCTGAGGCACAAAGGCGTGTTCCAATTTGTACCCCGGGTAGAAGAGATACAAAGTATTAACCTGAGAGGACTCCTGGGGCTCTTAATGTGTTGCTCACTTGATAACGCAAATAATCCTCATCAGCAACAAAACAGTATAGCAATTACAACTCCATGATATTTTATTACGTGCCAGTCATAGGTTTCGTTTCGTTATAAATGTATATTCACACGTATTTAAAACACTTACTCACTCATGTAGATAAACGAGGATAAGAGAAAGTACGGACATAATAATTTACGTTCGTTATCAGGGACAAGCTATTTTTTGCTAGTTTCGGCTCCATGGGAAAATGTTATATTGAACAAGAATCCCGCATGGAACAAGTATATGTATGACCTACTAGTAATTGTCCCGGGTCTGTATGTTTGTTCTTGTGATATACATTTATATCAACTACCCTCAAGATTTGGAAGAAAATCCTAGTGAAGAGGTAACGATTAAAATAATAATAACAATAATAATTTAGAAGTATTATTTGTACAAATTGATGATGACAAATGTTTGCTCTAGTAGGGTAAACTCACCTAATTGTGTGCCTCACTTAATTCAGTAATACAACGTTTGGATTCTTTTGCAGCGTTTTAGGAGTAAAATCCAATACATTAAAATGAACCCTATAGTATGGTAGTAAAGCTTCTTTTTGTGTACAAATTTTTGTTAAGATCATACGAGAGATAGTAACAATCACGGGATTTGTCATTGCGCCCGCCTTGTTTGACGTTTCACCGGTAGCATGCAACTGTGCTGTCATTATTTATTTAATTTTAAATAGAAAAGGTAAATGTAAGTTCATGATACTTTGACAATTAGTTGTTAAAAAATTATACTTGTTGATACCGATAAAAGTTTTAGTAATTTTTCATTTGTTTTTGTATAATACCTTATTTTCCTGGGTTATTCGTATATTAATAATTGTTTTCAGTACGTGTACGTTAGTAGTTTAAGCCAGAAAATATTTATTTTTACTCAGGTAATAAAAATAGAAAATATAATGAAACAACCCTGACATCCGCAATTGAAAGTGTTCTGCAGTCAAAAATGAGTCTGTACAGGACATCAAAAGAATATAAAGTGCCGTGAAGTACTTTAAAGTTGTAACGTTGAAAGGATAAAAGAAGAACGCAAGCAGGGCATAACACAAATTAAAATGCTCAAGGTTGGTAGACCATTTTCTTTGTCAGCAAATTTAGAACAAAGTTTATTGTCATACATTGTACAAATGCAAGAACTTAGATTTGGTCTTACAGTCAACCAAATCCGGCAAATCGCTTTTTCGCTTGCTGAGATAGCCAAATTCAAGCATAACTTCAACACTAACAAAAAATGTGCAGGATGAAATTGGTGGATAGGCTTCAAAGAACGTTATGGGTTAAGTTTAAGAACTCCCGAAAACCTTTCATCTGGCCGTGGTATTTGTTCAAATCCTGCAATAATAGCTGACTTTTATGAAAAATTAGAAGCAACATTAGTTGCACATAACTTGATGAATTGTCCAGAGAGGATATGGAATTGTGACGAAACAGTTCTTATGTATGTCAACAAATCTTCTAAGATTGTAACTAAAATAGATAAAAAATACGTTTACAATAGAACGTATGCTGAAAAAGGCACTACAACCACCGTGCTGGCTTGTGTTAATGCAGCTGGGAATTTTATTCCCACTTTAGTGATTTTCAAAGGAGTAAGAAATACTCCGGAACTATCGAATGGTTCTCTGCCAAACAGTTTAACCCGACTGTCACAAAAGGGCTGGATAAATGCAGATTTATTCTTTGAATGTTTTAAGTTTATCGATCAAAATATTCCTCCTGCAAGACCCGTATTTTTAATTATGGATTCACATGCAAGTCAAATAAGTCCAAAAGTGCTTGAGTATGCTAAATCCCCCCAGATAATATTGTTTACAATGCCTGCTCACACCAGCCATATTTTACAACCTCTGGATGTGGGAGTGTTTCGGCCACTTAAAGCGGCATGGAGAGCAGAGTTACAAAATTATAAAATAAAACATCCCAGTACCCACAAGATATGATTTCCACAAATTTCTAACACCGGTCTATGAAAAATGTTTCACACCAACCAATATTCGAGTAGGATTTAGTAAAGCTGGAATCTATCCATTTAATAAAAATGCTGTATGCCCAGACGCTATTGCACCTTCCAAGTTATCCGATCAGCCTGTAATTACTGGACAAGAGTCAATGGAAGAAATAACTATCGGTATTGACTACGATGAAAAAATTCCTCACTCTGGAATACATAATGACCTTCTGTGTGACGGAGAAGTCAAGAAAATGACGACCCTTCGATCTCAAGTACTAGTCTTTCCGAAAAATCTCAAACACAGAGTGATGAGCCTTTTGTTTTACAAGTGGAATGCGAGTTAGAAACAATTACCAACACTGAACAAAACATTTTAACCACCGACGACGTATCAAGACCTCAAAACAAAAATAAAATAATTATACATGATATATTAACATTACCAAAGTGGAAAACAAATACGAAAACACAACAAAGAGAATCGTTTCCAAAGCACCGGTTGCCACAACATCATCTGCAACCGTATCTGTAAGACATGTCAAAAAAGAAGATATACGGCGGCAGTTATCCCTTCAGCAGATTAATAAACCAAAATCACGAAGACAAGGAATCGAAAATGTCAAACAATCTTCTCAATCATCAAAGGGATCAAAATGTTCCATCTCGAATGATGATTGGATTTGTAGTACGTGCAATGGGCTATACTCACAAGATGTTAAGTTACAAAATGGAGCCGACTGGATATCATGCTCGTTCTGTACTAATCCGTATCATACCCATTGCCAAAGTCAAATTATAAATGACAACCAAGAATTTTTTATGTGTGATGGTTGTAGTATTGACGAGTCCAGTGGTGAAAATTAGAGTAAAAAACAATTATAAAGTCCAATATTGTTTTTTATTTTCCCCACTTTTGATAGTTTCTCGTTGATTAATAAATACATAATTATTACTTTCAATATGTTTATATTGTAATTTTATTTTTTGTTACTTTTGTGTTAAAAAATAATAAATAATCACTTAATTCGGTTATAACAGAATTAGAGAAGTACTATCACTGAATTACGGTGTTTGTCGCATAATTAGACAAGTTATCGCGAT